GAAACAAAGCAAAGCATTAAAAAAAAGATAAATAAAAGAAATGAAACATGACGGAGAGACTGAAAGTCGTTAGATTTGATTTACAGAGAATATTTTCTGCTGACCACCGCCTCCCCCTCCTGAGTCGTTTGTTCGATCCATTCTCTTCTTACTCCCCCCCCCTCCCTATCGCTCCTCTGCCTCCTCATCCCATTAGCTGATTGCCTGTGCACCATCATGTGCCAAACAGCCTGCTGGAGGCATGAGAGGGACGGACGAGAGCTTTTGACCTCTCGGTCCTCTTGACCCTTAATCCGTGTCGACATCCCTCTCTCACGTCGGCCCAGCCTCCTTTCTTTCTCTTCTTCTTAAGTATCCAGCTGACTCTTTTCTCTCTCCATACTTCACCTCCTCTTCTCATCGGCTCGACTGACCTTGTAGAAAGACCCACTAATGAAGATTGGGAATGACTCATCTCCGAACTGCGGATGTCGGCCAAAACATGTCACATCCGAGCGGAGAAGTTCAGTCCACTTGTCAAATGGGTTTGGGAGAGAGAATTCGGAGAGGGAGAGAGAGAGTAAATTGGCACAGGGGCAGGCCTGACAGCGGCACTTTTCTCTCCAGCGGCTTTCAACGAATAGCCGTTGTTTCACAGGGTTAGTTATTAAGTGCACCGCCATCTAAGTCTAAAGAAAGCTGCAGGGAGGAACGCTTTTTAAAAAAGAATTCTCTCCAAAGCAGTTTTATGGTCGGCGAGTGGCGTGCATCAAGAGAGAGAACGGAAAAGGGGATTTATTTTGATGTGTTTGTTCACCGCTCGACAGCAGGAGCCAGGTAAATGTGCGGAGAATTTCAAACCTAAACCTGAGCGAGGAGCGAGGCAGAGGAAGAGACTTAATGAGCGGAGGAAGAAACGATACGATAGTGATTTTAAAAAAAAAACACCAACTAAATAAACAGGAGCCGAGCGGAAGAGACCAAACCCGTTAGAGCCGTGAGGACGGCGGGTAGATGGTTGGGGCAGACTGAAGAAGAGACGGGGAGGAAAACAAGGCATTCATCAAGACCCGAGTGTCTGTCCTCCCCCGCCCCTGTTTGCTAAATGTACCGGGCAGCGTCCTCCCTTCAGCGCAATTCAATTCCATCTATAAATAACCTTTCTTGTAAAGGACTCACTGGCACAACATTTTCTGATTGAAGAGATGCATAAACCACACCTCTCTCTTTGTCTCTCACTCGCTGTCTCTCTGTCTCTCTCTCTGGGCTGGCTTCCATGGCAGCTGTTGCTGGTCACTCGTTGGTTGCTGAGACACTACGGTTTATTGGTGCACCCTTAATGAGGACGCAGGAAGGAAGGATAATAAAGTAAAAGCACTGCCAGCAGTCTGAAAATCCTTGTTTTTTACGAGGGAGAATCTCATCATATTAGACTGCAATATTTTCACTTTGTTGTTATTTCATGTGTTTTACTGTTGCCTTTCACTTGATCGTCTTTACGGTAACTGTGAGATGATCTTGGCCGATTTAAAGCCACATCGATCAGATTGCAGAATGGTTTAATATGTTGGCCTCAAAGGAGTGAAGAGCTCTGACAAACTGAGACTTGCTGTCACCCGACTGGCAGTGCGGGGAAACGTTGGCCCGGTCCTGATCTCCACGGGTTTAGTGCTGTCCCGCTGTCGGATTGTCGAGAGCTCTCTCGCAGACATGTTTGAGTTCTTCATGCACACTCGCAGTAAGTCTGGATTTCTTCACACTTTGCCCGAGTGGATTCGCCCACAATTCATAGCTCTGTGACGTCGAAACGCGGGGTCAAAGGGGAAGACCGGTGGCAGTAAACAAAGAGCACATTGGTGTTCAGCCTAGCATATTAATTCTACACGGAAACATTAACAGTAGGGATTTAAGATGGTACATAGCAAACACACATATATTAATATTAATCACCCGGGGGAATTGACAATTTGACATTATTACCTCTTGTCTACTCTGTAAAGTAAGAGCCTGGAAAATGTTCAAATCAGGCAGCAGTAAGTTTTTTTTTTTTCGTCGTCAAGGTAACGTGATATGTCGTAGCAAAGTGCCGTCCCATTCAGATTTATACCATTTCAAGCCCTTGCTGCCTCACACACACATTTACCAGGTGACGTCAGCCTAGTCCCCAAGGGTTCAGGGCTTCAGGGGGGGGGCGGCAGCAGGAGTTCAGTGATTCATTTTCAAAAGCTTTCAGTGATAAAGAGTCAGGCAGGCAGAATGTCAGAGATGTACTGTGTAATTACAAAGGTCATCCACTTTTAACTGACACAAGAATCTACAATAATGTCTTTTCTCTGTTCCTCAGGTTCGGGGTGTTTGAGTTCCTCAGCAACCATGCAAGGGACGAGTCCGGTCGACTGGATAGCACCAGAGGCCTGCTGTGTGGGCTCGGAGCCGGGATCCTGGAGGCCGTTTTGGTGGTCTGTCCCATGGAAACTGTCAAGGTATGTTACCAACTGATCTGTGGTCAGATTTCTGATTTAATTTATTTTTTATAGTGTCACTAAATGCCCAGCGAAGACGAATGTACCTGAAACACCTGTCATTTTTTTTTTGTATAGTAAGCATACTGCTGCTTTTCATGGACTCAAAACAAATCTCCTTTGTTCATGAACTCATGAACAAAGGAGATTAGCAGCAGAAACATTCTCGACTTATCATATTCCCAGAGGAATTGTTTGACATCGTGTCCCCTGCACACTGTGTCACTGTTTCATTTGAAAGAAGGCCAGACTAAACTTTTGTGCAGTTTTCAGTATTCAGTGAGTCTCCCTTCTTTGTAATCGCAAAGCAAACATTTCCTGTTTTAAGTGATCTCCCTGTTCCTTTTTTAATCTCCCAAGGTTAAATTCATTCATGACCAGACTTCAGCCAACCCCAAATACAAAGGCTTCTACCACGGAGTCGGAGAGATCGTCAAGGCACAAGGTAAAGACGGGCTGCATGTCCTTTACCTGACATCTACTGGTCAGACAGGGTAATGCAGCTGGAAACACAGTGTTAGTAACAAAAGTGTAACGCCCAGACATGATGTTGTCTCCTAAATGTATTCTTATGTCCTTCCTATCGTGTCTTAACAGGAATAAGAGGGACATATCAGGGTCTCACCGCCACGGTCCTCAAACAAGGCTCCAACCAAGCTATTCGGTTCTATGTGATGACCTCTCTCAAGAACTGGTACAAAGGTCGGTGTGCATGAGGCTGCATGCATGTGTTTTAGATGAAACCCCTGTAGTATAGAAGGGTTCTCGGTAGAACCCCATGGGTGGGTTCTAGTTGATAACCCTTGGAATATAAGGGTCCCAGGTGGAACCTTTACAAAAGGTTCTACCGGGGACCACAAAGGGTTCTCCTATAAGGGCAAGCCGAAGAACCCCACGTGGTTCTAGTTAGCGCCGTTATTTCTTAGAGTATATCATTTTGACTCTCATGAACCCTTGTGGAAGCAGAAGTCCTGCTGCATAAATGAAAGAATGTAGACTAACATGGGTATTTGTACATCGTGTGGACTTGGGACACGGTACACTATAAAGATTAATATTGTTTATGGGTTTTACAAGCTAGACTCGCTCAGAGATGGGCAAAAATACATCAAGATGTATTTTAATACAAAATACCCCTCAAATAAATGTATCAAAATAAAATAGAAATACTGGTGCCAGAAAATGTAACAAAATACAATGCATGTATTTTGTATTTAAAATATAGGAAATACTTTTTTCTGGATTTTCCGTTTTCTCACAATTTGGTATAGCAGAGCATTCGGGTTTGGGCTATATAATATAATAATAATATAATATAATTATATATAATGTACACAAAGCTCTGGTGAAGCCCACAAAAAGAACAGTCACAGACATGTTGTCCACCTGGCCAACTGTAGAATGTATGAAATAATAAAACTAAGAATACTTTCATAATGTGCCTTTTAAATAAAATATATTGGATATTTAATGTTTTTTTTAACAAATGGACATCTACTGTCATAGCCTGCCTAACTGTGAACTATATTATCTGCCAGTAATTGATATGGCATTATGACATTCACATTGAGAAGATACAGCATAACTTGTAACACAGTGCAAGATTAGATGGTCAGACGTCTCTTGATAAGGTTATCATGAACATACAAGCTCCCAATCGCCCTCTTCCTATAGCTAGCTACTCGACTGATAAGTTAACTTGCTAAACACTGGCCATGCACTAGCCTAGACAGCATGCTAGCGTCATTGGCATGTTAGCATCGATCGCTAGCTTGATATTATAAACATCACCATGTATATACAATAGGCTATGTAGCCAGACATAAATTACACATCAAGCTAGTTGACATCTGTCACACTCAGATAAAATATTTACCTTGACAGACAATCGTTGAACTTGAAGATCTGAAGACTGAACTCATGAACTGTTTTTTGATTCGTGGCGAAAGTATTTTGAGTATTTTAAATACAAAATTACTCCACTCTAAAGTATTTTGTTACAAATTACATTTGATTTTTATTGGCCCTATCAAATACAAATTACAAAATACTCAAAAGTAATTGAAATACATATTTCAAATACAAGTAATCGAAATTTTGCCCATCTCTGGACACGCTGTTGTTCACTGCTACTGACTCCTCTGTAACGTCCTCTCACCAGGCGATGACCCCAACAAAGCCATGAATCCCCTGTTGACTGGAGCGTTTGGAGCCGTAGCCGGAGCAGCCAGTGTCTTTGGAAACACCCCTCTAGATGTCGTCAAGACAAGGATGCAGGTATAGTGTAATATGGTCACTATTATCAAGCACCTTGCTGGTGTTGTAATTTAAACTCGTCAAGTTGGTGCCTCCTGCTGACATTGATTAGAAATGACTATTTCTTTATTTTCTTGTTTTGTTTTTTACTGATGTCTCTTGTTGCACCGTCCACTTTGCTGCTGTAATCCTGTGTGGGACTAATAAAGGATTATTCTATCTTTCTTTTCATTCCGAAGGGTCTGGAAGCACATAAATATAAAGGCACATTGGACTGTGCTTCAAAGATCCTGAGACACGAGGGCTTGGCAGCGTGAGTACAACTCCACCTTGCTTCAGTCCTCCCCCCCCAGAAACCAAGGGACACTGATGTTTCATATGCTCTCTCTTTCTCTTTGTGTCCACCGGTAGTTTCTATAAAGGGACGGTTCCCCGGCTGGGCCGCGTGTGTCTGGACGTGGCCATAGTTTTCATCATCTACGAGGAGGTGGTGAAGGTCCTGAATGTGGCCTGGAAGACGGACTGAGCTGCCGGACTCCCTGCCTCCCATCGGATTGGATCAGTATCGTTTGCTAACCAGGGAGTGAAAGAGCTCACCGGCTCGGGACAGTGGAGAAGAAAAAAAAACCTTAAAAATAGGCCCAGTGTTGCGCACATCTGGACAGCTGGAGTGTAGGCAGAGCTTTGCTGCCACCAAGTCGATTTCACAAGTGGGATTATAAAGTTAGCCAAATAACTGTGACAAAAAGATGCTTCACCCTATGTATACATCATTTCTAAATGTGAATCTAGGCTCTCCAACATGATTCCTTTAAAACAAAATTTTTGCAGAAATTATGTGGCTCACTTTCTTAAACCTGCTTTCTAAAAAAGCCCTCAGTCAGTGAAGAACATCATTTCTAGTCACCAACAGCTGTTCTACTGATGTTTACTGTGAGTATGCACGTGTCAAACTGGATTTTTCTCGATTTAGCTGGTGTTGCTCTCTGCTTTTTCTTGTGCCTAATATGGTTTTAAATCCAGAGGATCCACTGGTTGCAGTTTACAGTCACATGAACTGCAGCAACGTCCATAACTAAGCCTTTAATAGAAAGATTTTACGTTTATAACACACCGATTATTTTTATACAGTGTAGATTACCAGCATATTCTATAGTCTATAGTTTTATTGTAAACTGACATATTTCATTCCTGTGCCGAATTATGAACGTGTGTTCAGAGTAGCCTAATGATGTTAACAAGAGAATATATGACTTGTACTGTGACATGCGTAATAAATATATTTGTTGAATGTTAAATATGGACACGGTTGAGGGATTCTTTTCAGTCAACTTGTGCCACTTGTGTCGAGTTTTGTGTCTCTCCTGTGATCGGGTCGGGTGTAAAGGTGTTTTTAAGATGTTAGGTCAAATATTTAATTGCTGTATTTCACTGAGTCTAAATGACCCAAATACACTTAAGTCAGAGAGACCAAGTAACCTCAGATCTCTTTTTAACCCCTTAATAGAAGCAGTCATATCCTGACAAAAAGTTCCCAAGAAGAGAAATATTCTTCTACTGTACACATTTATTTACTTTTTTTTTTCCTAGTAAATCACTCTCAGGTGGAACTTCCCACAATTCATTGATATGATATTTAACCTGTCGCTGCTTCTTTTACTGTAAAGGTCTTCTCAAAAGTGCCTTTTGCTGAGAAATATCCCCAATCTGTTCTCCACTGCAATTTGAGATTTCTGTGGTCCGGTCATAAACAAATGTTTATGAAAACAGTCACAACTGTGTCTATTACTGCAATAATTGTATCGAAATACTGATGTATTATGTTTCTCTATTTTCATCTTTTTCCGTTTGACCAAACAAAATGTTCCAAATAGCCAAGAGAAAATGTGATTGTCACAGCAGATCAATGTATTCCAAGGGGGGGGGGGGGGGGGGGGGTGTGTGTGTGTGTGTGCTTTCTTTATGATGAAGCTTGTACAATAAACAGGGGGGGTTAAAACTCATTAAAACAAGCATCTGAAAACTGGAGAGCATGCAGACTGTTTTCTTGTTGCCCTCACTCTGGTTCCTCTGTTCTGCTCTTTGGGTTGCAGCAGATCACGTTGGGAGAAGCCATGGGGGGCAAGTAGGGGAGGAATCGAACAGGGGACTCATTGTTCCGGTTTTGGCTGATGCTCATGTAGTCTAGCTATCCATCTCTTTCTCGTGCTCACACACACACACAAACACGTCAAATCCACGGTGCCCCAGTGTTTGTTGTGAGAAGGAATGCAAAGCTCTCTGCAGAAGAAGGGAAGTGAGGACAGCATGTAGTGGATGTTTTGTCCCCAATGAGGAAGTGAGGAATCTGTGCTGTGTGTGAGTCAGTGGTGGGAGAAGTATCTTATCGTCTACTTAAGTAAAAGTAAAGCATTCCAAATTTTCTTAGGTGAAAATAAAGAAGTATTAGCATCAAATATACTTTAAGTACCAAAAGTAAAAGCGCTCATTATGCAAAATGGTCCATTTCAGAGTGATATTGGATTATTGACCTGTTAAATGTGCTAAACACGAGATTGGGAGCGCTTTGATTGCATCTCGGCAGTATAAAATGACTCACCATGATGACTGTTGAGTCGGCGGCTCGCAGCTAACGGCGCTGACGGTGCAAACAACGGCAACAGTGCTGACAGAGCTAACAGTGTTAGCCTGAGGGGGAACCAGAGGGCGGGGGATACGCGTCACTATATCTTAGACAACAGTCATTCCCTGCTATATTAACGCTCTGAATCCTGTATGTTGCACCTTTAATGTAAGTATCACTTTAATGTTGCAGCTGGTAACGGTGGGACTAATTTGAATTACTTCATACTGCTGGGTGCTTAAATCTATAATAATACATAATTTGTTTGTTGATGTTATTTTGTATTTAACAACTGAATCTGCAAAGTAACTAAAGCTTTAAAGTAAATGTAGTGGAGTACAACGTGCAGTGTGTGCCTCCAAAATGTAGAGTAGAAGTATAAAAACACCATCAATACCTTTGGAAAGCACAGTGCTGATTTACTTTCCACCACTGGTGTGTGCATGCCAAACAGTTCTTCTTTAAACAGTAGGTGGAGCTGTTGTCAGAGCCTCAAACACATCTGTGAAGCCCCCTCCTGCTGAGACACACACACACACAGTGATCAGTGATGAGAGAGGCCTTCTCTCGCTTTGTATCTGTACAATAGGGCTTTATGAGATGGGTCAAAGAATCTACCCACCTCCCTTCATCCTAACATCATCACTCCCTCCTCCTCTCTGCTGCTGGAGAGAGGATTGGGCCAAAAATTGCTGAAGAATCTCTCATCATCTTCACAGACATCAGCCACACAGCTCAGGCCTTCAGATCATCAAAACTCCAGAGATGAAAAAGTTAAGCCTCCCTGTTGATCTGAGAGCAGCAGCTTTAAAGCTCCGCTTCTTTATTTTGCCCAACATGTGCAAATACTTAGAGGTGGACATAAACCAAGTACATTGGATTTTATTTGAATTTTTTTTTCTAAATACCCACCTTTATAGATATGTACCCTGTCATATGTTTTTGTTTTTGTTTGGTTTGTCTCTCATTGTTTTTAAGACATTTTTTGGTCTGTCTCTTTTGGCTTGTGACCCCTTGTGACATCACATCACAGGTTATGGCCTTAATAAGGACCTGACTTCAAAGATAAGCAATTTACCCTCTCCTCATTTGAAGCATTGTTTTGTCCTGAGGTAGTCAAAATGTCCATATTTCACAAGTAAAAAAGCCAAATCATAACATAAATGTATATTTGTAATTGACAGTTTCTTTCTAATACCCTTTAACCTTTGCATGACCCCTTCGATTTAGTTTGGGACCCAACTGGTGTGTGTGTGTGACACCTCGTTATCTTGTTGCTGTTGTGACATCAGAGACTCGGTGAGCTCATTTGTTTAAGTTTAAGATAACCAACAGGCCTGGTTATCTTAAAGTTAATCCTTTACCTGAGGATGCTTCTTACAGATGAATGCATCAAGCACAACGTGGACATTTAGCAGCAGCACATTCACAGCACTTTTAATGTAATATTTTCCCATTGACCTGTGATATGTCTCCTTTAACAGTGAGGGATTTGAAGCACTGTCCTGTGTCTGTCTTGTCCTGATGCACTTTCCCCCCCCCCTCCCTCTCTCCCTCCCTCCCTCCCTCCCACCCTCCCATTGCTCAGTTTCTCCCCGAAAGCCCCCATTCACTCTGACCCAGTGAAGGGTGAGTAATGGTATTGTTCTCCAGTCTTCCTCTCCAAAGGGTGGATGCTCTTCGTCCTGCGGGATGAGTGGATGATCTTTTTTTCTTTTTGCTGCGGCTCAAAAAGGGACCTCGTGACAGCTGATTGACTCTTACTTTGATGTAAACGTCTCTCTTCTATTTACCGATTTCGACATAAAGTGGCAGCGCCGCTGTCCGTGGTCCTGAACGAGATTTTCTGATTGGAAGCTAAACTGACGTAGGCAACTTTCCGCAGATATCTGTCCACTCGCGTGTAGCTGCTGTTTTTTTTTTTGTGGTTTTTAAAGATTAAATTGTAAAGATGTTGACCCCAGTTTTAGTGCAAGGCTGTAAGGCACTGTGAATGCCTCTATTGGGGTTTATTTGGAGAGGTTTTCCCCAAAACTGAACGTCTTCTTCATTTGCATCTCACTTGTGTCTCAGGAGGGGAAAACACTCCGAGAGAATAATAAGACATTCTGCAATCACTCACTCGTTTGCTGAGCAACAGATTGAGCAACTAGTCAGAGAGAGGAGAGGGGGGGGAGACTGTACGCCAACAGTAGCTGTAAGGGGCGGTGTCCAACACACGGATAGAGGAGAGCTGGTGCGCACACTGGCTCCACTTTTACGCATCAGTTGTTCGCGTCAAGGTGTCAATGCAGAAGTTACCTGGGATTTGGATTTATATTTAGAAAACAGCACCAGTGTCTTTATAACATAACTCAGCTCCAAGCGGACTGTGTGTGTGTGTGTGTGTGTGTGTGCGTGTGCGTGTGTGTGCGTGCGTGTGCGTGTGAGCAAGTGGTGGACCCCCGGGGCAAGTTATTTCGTCATGGGAGCGCTTGGATGGAGCCCGGCGCGTCTTGGTTGGTTTGTCGTTTGCGGATACCTCGCGTTTTTCTGCGGGGGAATCGTCCCGCGGGCCGAGGCGGGCTGCGGGGAGAGGGAGAGCCCCAACTGCTGCACCGGCCGGAACAACGAATGCCTCGAGTACAGCAAGAGGAAGACGGCGTGCTACTGCGATACCTACTGTCAGAAAACCGGAGACTGCTGCGAGGACTACCAGCGCGTGTGTCAAATATCTGGTGAGTTGCCGTCCCGTATCTGTTGATGCGCTTTTTTGAGAGGCCTGCATGGCAGCTCAAAGTTTGGGGGGGGATAAACACTGCGCAGATCTGTGACGCCTTTGTTGACCATATTTGAGCCACGAGACGGCTGACGTTGAGGTGACATGGAGACAGTGAGACATACTACACATAGCTGTCTGTCTCCAGTGCGCCGATTATGGCTGTTTGTTTCAAGTGATGTTTGCTCTTTGTGGTGTTTTTTTTTCCACAGCAGGTTGCGTGTGTGTGTTTTTAAATTTGTGGGGTTGACCCCCTTGGCCCCATAAAGCCGTCAATTTGGGGAAGTGGTGTGAGTGATCGCAGCAAAGTCACAAATCAGCGCGATTCAGAGGGAATCAGCCGCAATTGGAGTCGCGAGAGCGAGGCTGATCATTCACAGAATCCTCTTTCCTCTCATCACCCCCTGCTATATATAGACAAATTAAGGGAATGGGCACTTTTGGAACAGACTGCACAAGATGGTCAGGATCACAGCAGAGCGAGTGTCTGAGATGTGACAGAGAGGAAACGCTCTTACAGCTCTCACAGTATTTGTTGGAACAGCTCGAGTTTACGAGGAGCGGGATACGAGCACCTGAGTTCGGTGCTGCGACTGAAAGATCCCTCAGATTTAGGCACGCGCAGTGTAAACATAGTGGGGCCCTTTTGTTTGAGTGCTGTACCTGTGCTGTGATGTGAATGCCTCATCCAGTCGCTTAAGAAAGTGGGCGCAAAAGTGTTGTGACGCACTTATTATATTAGACCCCGCTGTCTACTGCAAAGACGACAGCCACCTGCTGGATCCCCGTCGAACAGCAGAAAAGTATACTGCGATTATTTTCAAAGAAAAAATACATTTTATTAAGTTGACTTATTAAATACTTGTGTACTTTACAATACAACTGGCCTTCTAGAGCTTTACCTAATTGGTGTTCCAATGCTTTTTTTTTGACAATTTGAGGATTCCTTAATTTCGGTTAATAAAAAGCCCTTTTATGTGATATGATTATAGATCAAATTAATCTAACTTGACTTGAGTGTTGGGAGTTACTTGAGACAAGCAGCAATTTAAACAGAATAAGCGCAGGAAAAAAGCACCTAACGGCCGCCATGAGCATCGGTTCACTCACGGCGAGGACCTTTTTTTATATTATCCCCGTGGACTTCGTGTGTCCCTCTGACAGGTCAATCCTGACGTGACAGTGTGGTATGTGGTGTTACAGGTTGGACGACGTTTCCCGGATGAATGTGGTCCCTGAACGGGACATCTGTAATTCAAGACGTAAATTGTGTGTTAATACTGTTGCAGCCTTCCATCTCTTCGAATCTGAACATGAAATCTTTGTCAACTTGGCCATGACATAAGTGCGTGGATCAGTGAGCACTAGGTGATGCTGCGAAAAGCACCTTGACATCCTCCCCCTCTGCAACTCGAGAGCATCCCACCAGCATAAACACTACACGCAATCATGTGACTTGGCTCCGTTCCATCTCGAATCGCCCTCACCCCCTAGATACGCTCCGGACTTTATCTGATCCTGATCCACGCAGCCCTGCAACGTATCAAGGAGTCTCTCTGTGTACTGTCTGTCACAGTCTGTAATTGAGCTGTGTCAGCTGTAGCCGTGCAAAGAGCGTGGAGTGGGTGACTTAAGAGGAGAGACAGGGCAAAAGCTGGCGGACTGTTTGCAGCATTTGGACACAAACACTTACAGCTCTTAAGAGTTGATAGGGTTCTCTGCAGAGGTGTCATTCAGATGAAGTATCTGGCAGGAATTTGTGTTGGTTGTAAACAGTGTGGAGAATGTTCCCGTGAACTTAAGAGGTCGGTTGTGGAATGTTTTAAGGAAAAACAAAATCCTCCCTCCACATTGCACTTGTGGTCTGGCAAGTACGACGTGTTTCTGCACCAGACTGACAGAACGGGACAAGTACGGGGGTGTTCTCATGGGTTTCATCAGGTTTTAAAACTGGAAAACTATGGTGGCATTTCTGCAAACGAAAATATTTAAGCAGGACAACGCACCAGAAAGATAGTAGTTTTAGATCTACAAGTTAGTTTAAAGGAGACATATCATAACAAACTGACTTTTACAGTCCTCGTTACACATACATTAGGGTATCTGGAGTGGATTGCCTACAAACCAGGCAGCAACCTCCGGTTCTGACGAGTGAAGCCATTGCGGAAGAGTCTTAAAACTTGCATTTTCCTAAAGCCCAGCAGGGGGCGACTCGTCGGGTTGCAAAAAGAAGTCAGATTGTATAGAAGCCCATGAGAAAATGACTCTACTTCTCACTTGATTTATTCCATCAGTAAACATTGTAAACATTAATTTATGGTCTCAATCTCTAGTTTCAAGTCTTCTTCAATACAGCATGATGTTCATTTAGTAAATTATGGTCCATTTAGAGTCAAATAGACCATAAAGCAGGGTATGCTTTAGGGCGGGCTTACTGATATTGACCAGAGACGTACACGCCTCCGCATTCCATATATGGTCACTTCCGTTCACTGGTTGCAAAAAGCCAAGATGGCGTCGGCCATAATCCAAGATGGCGACGGCAGAATCGTCGAACTCGAGGCTTCAAAACAGCAGTCCACAAACCAGTGGGTGACGTCACGACGATTACGTCCATTTCTTATATACAGTCTATGCTACCAACCCACAAACTGTGCTCACTCACGTGCCAATCAGAGCAGACTAGGCTGTTTTTCGGGAGGAGGGCTTAAAGAGACAGGCACAAAAAACGGAGCGTTTCACACAGAGAGTGAATACAGGTACATTCAGATGGACAGTATGAGAAAAAAATGTGCTTTCTGAACATGAAAGCATGTAAACATGTTCTAGTAGAAACCTAAAATATAAATATAAACCTAAAAATTAGCATGATATGTCCCCTTTAATTTCCTATTGAGGGTGAGGAGGTGAATCACTCCGCATAATTTGGTCGTTAGTTCTTCGCAGCACTACGCTCACAAGTAATCTTGGGCTGACTCTGCGAAGCTATACGTTTGTGCACTTTTCTCACTCCTGCAAATAAATTGACAAAAGCAGAAATTGAAACGTCTCATAAGCAATGAGGAGCATCCATCTTTGGTTTTGTTATTTGACAAATATAGGGAGGAATGCATCAATGGAGAGCCGGAGAAGAGGCGGAGAAGATGTGTATTTCTGCGCTGATGGAGGATTCAGTACAGCAGAGTTCAATGTTGCCTCTTCAGTAAGGCATATGAGACTTTCTTCACCTTTCTATTTGATTATTATAGGGAGCTACGGGTTGTTTACAGAAACTTGAAATCCAAGGTGGGAGTTGTCTACTGTTGTAGGAGTACATTATTTCTGTGTCAGCCCTACGGTGAGTCTCTAATTGCTCATTCCTCGTATACTCGGGAGTGGAAACTGGAAACGGGAGGATGGAAGGGGCAGCTCCTCTCTTCTCCTTCTGTGGCGCATGGTAGTTCTCACTTCAGCAGGAAGACGTATTGTAGCCTCTGCCTCACATACACCAGAGGTCTGCTCATCCTTCATCTCTCTCTTTCCTTCAGGTAGCTCTGCTTCTCTTCCTCTCCATGGTGCGCTGTCGTGCCATGATGTTTGCATCTCCCCAACGCCGTTCACTCCCTATTTTTACTTCCTTTGCTTCCCCCCTCCCGTTCTTTCTGTAACCTCTAGAGTGGTGGATGATTTCCCCCAGCTTGGCTGAAACGGGCCAGCTGTTGGCCGCCCAGTTTCTCCTGCTGCACGCACCATGCTAGATTCTCCAGGTTGTTAATTTGACGCTCTTCATCCGGTGTCAACCTTGACTAGAAAACACAAATAATGTATTCCATTTCAAACTTGGGTGTTAACAGTTTTCATACAGGAACTATTAATTCAGTAGTAAGTAAGTTGCAAAGAAAACTTATCACAAGGACATTTGAATGTAATTTCAATTTGTGGTACAATTTGTGGTCCCCAGAGGATGAATCCACTGACTTTGGTGATCCCCCCTGACATTGTCCTCTAAAGCCACCGTGAGGTTGACGTTTCTGGTTTAGGAATGAAATTGGTTTGTCAGCAACTATTAGAAGGATTAACATGAAAGTTGGTACACACATTCATGTTCCTCGCATCATGAATTGCGATATCGTTGGTGATCTTTTCCTCTAGTGTCATCAGGACAACCCCGTGTATCTTAATTGGCAAATGTTAGCACGTTAACATGGCAAACTAAATATGCGAACATGCTACATTAGCATCAGTGGGTTAGTATTGTTACGGTGAGCTAATAGCATGCTAGCGTTAGCACATTTTCTGTCTCATTTGTTTGTTTTTTTTTGGTTTCTTTTGTTTCATAGTTGTTAAGAAGTGGAGTCGGCATTGTGAATTGTGAATTCTTCTGTCTGTGTATGCAGGCCTTTAGTTCTTATCATTACGGTATAACAAAGTGTTGGGAGGCCATGCTTGGCGAATACTTCTTCAGGTTGTGCAATTCTCAAACAGAAAATCTGTCTCAGCTGTGTTTGTAATGACTCCTTTAAATTAGTTGCTTTGCTTGGCTGCTCTTTTCAAGGTGTCTACAGGAAACATTTATGTGCTAACCCGTTATTAGGGCTCAGTCCCGTGTCCCTCTCCCCTATTAACAGGCTTCTCCCTTGTTTTGCCGAACGTTGTAAGGCTTGTCTGATGGGACCGAGGCCCAGCTCTGTATACGTGCGGAGGGAGCTTTGGTGGGCGTTGTGGTCCTCTGGAGCAGCTGGACATCTGGGTCCCATCAGAGAGGAGTTTGAGGAAGAGGACAAGGGGTGGGAGGGTGAAAATAAAAAGGGACCAAAAAATAAAGGAGGCAGATGGGGGAGAAAGAACAAGGGGCGAGCGCGGGACAAAGTGGTCAAGGGAGGTGAAGATAAAGCAAATTGGGGCGGGTGGGTCTGATAAGTATTTTGTTATTGAAACCCTTAAAATGGAAGCAGACTTAAGGGAGAGTGAAAGAGAAAGCGAAGGAATGCCGATAGGACATTATCTCACTGTCACAAGTGTGACTGGAGATTGGCTGACAAGTGAGGAGATAAAAGTGCTGATGTTGGCTACACATTGAGTGGTTTGGTTCGTTTAATTGGCATTTGTCTGAAGCTATGCTAACCGCCAGATGGGGAAAAAGCCATACTGCCATTAACCCATATTTATCTCATATTTTAATATAGCTGTGTTAAACCATCCTATTTAAGGCTTTAATGTCTAAAAGTTTAAAGACCTGGAAACAGACTTTGTTGTTTAAAATCAGTAAAGATGCCCTTTTAATTCGCATTTATTAAGAGTTTTACACTCAAGAAGCTTCATCAGAACATCAATGTGGTTTGATCAGATTTGATTAAATTGTTGCTAAAACCTAATTTATGAACCTAATTGTATTTTTCAAACTCAGCCTAAATCAATAAGAATTTTAAAAGCTATTTTTTGGCATTAAAGTTTAGTAGATTCTGTAGCTAGTATCAGTTTTTTAGTGTGTCAAAGGTCACTGTATAAAATGGACCTTGTGCTCCAGAAGATGAAAGAATACAGATCTAGTGTCAGTGGTGGATAAAACACGCCTCCTTTGAGGGGAAACTTACTTTAGAGTACTTGAAAACACTTTGTAAAAACTTACCAGCAGATCGAAAAGACAAAAGCCAAACATGCTGACAATGAGTGCCATTTGTTTCCTTTACTGGGAGGTCAGAGGTCAGAAGGTGGTGGCGTGCTTTCTGAGAGGGGACTTTCTCATCAACAATGGGGGACAGGGGGCAACAGTGGCTGTGAGCTCTGTGGGTCAGGCTGTGTCAGGCTGTCAGCAGGGTTAGCGTGTGGGTGGTGGGACTGTCGCACTGGTGGTACCAGAAACAGAGCCGGGGGACCACCACGGTTTGGTAATTGCCTTCTGACCTCTGGTGGCTTGAGGCCAACAGGTCTGAGACTTTCAGACAGGGCCTCAGTCCTGTTGGTGTGTGTGTGTGTGTGTGTGGTGTGTCGATGAAAGGTGGTAATAGTTTCCCCCTCGGGTGCGGGAAATTGCTGAACCTACAGGTTTCATTGCACCCCACCCCCTGACCTGCTTGCTCGTGTATTTTTTCCCCACTATAAGAAAGACAAAATAACATCATCGAAACTACCCCCGTGTGAACGTCACAGGATGCGGAAGAGGGAAGGAAAGGCAAGGAGTGGGGATGAGAAGAGGCGGAGGAGGCAACAGAAGCCGATACGTGTGTGTCTGTGTGTGATGACTGAGGGTGGAATGAGCCCGAGTGGGTGGGTTTTTTTCTGCCAGAAATTGTTTTCGATGTGTGTGTGTTTGTGTGTGTGTGTGATGATCTGGGAAAGGCGAGTGTCAGGTGGGCAGCACTAATGTGCAGGAATGCAGAGATTCCTCAGTGGCTTTGTGGATCGGCTGTGTCACTGAAACAGCCCCCCCCCAAAACTCCAACGGGACCATGGGAATGAATCGAACAGGCGGCACTTTGAAAGCTCTCTCTCTCTCTCTCTCTTTCTTTTTCTCTATTTCTCTTGTTCACACACAAACACGTACTTATTCACTTGGAGCATCGTGCTGCATGGTGTGTGTATGTGTGTGTGAACAGGAGAAAGAGAGGGATGTTATAAAGAAAGAGTAAACTAGATTAAATGGCGAGGGAGGATTAGATTCAGTTATGGTATATTTATCAACTCCCTCCGTATAATTGCACCATGAACATCTAAGAGCTCCAAGCTGTGTGCACCTGCTCTCATTGTATTTGTACTGTCTACAATTAAGAAAATATAAGAATCAAAAGCTCTGCTCCAACATCAGGCTTTTTGAATAAAGAGTTCTACAAATATTCATTTGTGCGTTGTTTTTTGTGTGTTTATGGAGTGGGCACTTCCTCCCCTAAAAACAAGGCTGTTAAATGTCTGCCGCTATTAAATGTCTGCGCTGGACGAAGCTTGATTACCGCTGGAGACTCTGGGCTTTGATCAGTGCAGCCATCTAACTAATACAGCTTCCTCTTAGCCCGATGTAATTGGCTAAATCGGCCTACAGAACGGGAAGCCTGATTGTGGCTGCTGCTGTGTTTATGTGGTGTGCTGCATTTGAGTGTGTATGTGTGTGTGTGTGTGTTTAAATGTGTGGCAGAGGGAAACCAGAGAGAGGACAGGATACAAAATTAGCCCCTTATTTAAACGGCCCCACACACATGTGACCCCAGGTCACAGACTTCCTGAGTCTGGGGCAGACGTTAATGACCCGGTCACTCGTTTTCCTGCCCACCAAATGCCTTGCTGCAATATTATGCAACTCCAACGTTTGCAACTATACCCCTTGGGTAAAGATCAGTTCATATTTTTTCAGAATTAGACCATTTTGTTGACAGCTGGAGAGATATTTTTCTTTATTTTCTACTCTGATGCTCTTAAATCTTCCTGAAGTGAAACAAACTCACCTTCCCAAAATGCACTTGAGCTTTTCTGTATGTAACTCCATTGTATTTTTCTCGTTAATTAATGAATAATAAATGTTATTGAGATACAACGATACAGATATCGGTCCGGAACTGAATCCAATAGCTTGATTGATATCGGTGACAATAGGCCGATCTGGTTTGGAATACAATTATTCTAATAAATAACAATACATTTGTATATGTAGTTATTTGTTACATTTTGTTTTACAAATTTAGGAAAGCAGTGTTTAAGTCAAGCCTGGTGTTGGCTCACACATGAAAGAATTGTCCCGGTCCATTCCACACAGGGAGGCTTACAGCTTATTGATTGAACACTGGTAACAGAACAGCCGATACCCGAAACCTAGGTATCGCTATTGGTATCGAAACATGAAAAGTCAGATTGGTGCACCCCTTATTTGTCTGCCCCCCCCCAGTGCATTTTTCTTCTGACGTGTCCGTAAAACACTCAGCTGATCTCTCTCTGTCTCCCTGCTTCCCCCAGCAGCCATTGACTGCGTGGTGGGATCGTGGGGCCCCTGGTCGTCGTGCACGTCCCCGTGCGGAGTTGGCAGCACGGAGAGGAGTCGCCAAGTGTCCGTCCCCCCTAGGAATGGAGGCACGCCCTGTCCGGACCTCAAACAGCGCCGGGGATGCTTCGGGAACAACGCCATATGCAGCACCGCGAAAGGTCAGACCCTGACCTTTTCCACTCCCTGCGGGCATTCGTTTACGCTTGCACCTACGCAGGCACTCCCGCTCTGAACTCTGTTACATATACATTTGGTGTCTCAGTGTTCTCTGCGGTACCATCTTGTTAACAATAACATCTCCAGCTGCATCATCTCTGTTAAGCTCCTTGCTGTTGAATCACCCAGTTCCCAGTAATAAAACACCAGCAACACCAACACTTTGAGTCATTTGATACAACCAGTCATTTCCATTCACGGGATGAGAAATGCGGGATGTGTTTATACTTCCACTGACCTTTCTGTCATCTATTTTATGGTGTCCACCCTAACCTGCAGAGGTGGCAAAGATCCTGCCGGATTCTTTTAAGAGGAACTTCAAAGACCCTTGGAGGCGACCACACATGCTGATGAAGGAGGAGAAGGCCAGGTAAGGCCTTCATTATCAGACTGCAAGCGAACACACACAGACTGCTATACTGACTGAGGGAGGGGGTAATTACAGCTGAAATGGGTGGAGCTTAGATTGAACCTGTGCAGAGATTAAGATTTACAGCAACCGAAGAGCTCCTTTTCCAAAATGCTATCAATATTTCAAAAGCATATATATCTTTGAAAGCACAACTCCTACTCATGACTATAAGTACAACCAGCAATATGCTGCTTTTCTGCCAGCAATCACTTTATTGGCATTAAATCTCTTCTGTTCCAGCTTCAAGACTGCTTTTTAACTTCAGGTTCATATCATGTTCTGTTACCTCTGTTTTGACTGAGTTTTAAAGGTCACTTGAGGATCAACTTTGTGCTCAGAAAGATTGGAGAACGCAGACCAAGTCCAAGGTTGCCTTAGCCCGCGGAGCCTTGAAATTGCTTTGACTGTGAATATGTGAATAGTCACATCACAAGCTGACCTTTCGCTGACAAGGCCGGCGTGATCCATGTGAGAGCCCCCCCCCCCACGTGGATGCCGTCTTTGATCAGAGCTGAATGCAGATGTAGTTTTTTTTTTTCGTAGCTGGAACAATCAAGAGACCGTGTAGGGAATAAAATCACTGCTGCTTTTCCAGCCTTTCACACTGATTAAAATAGACATCGGATACCTTTGTTTTGACTGAAATACAAAGCATCGGGGGGAAGCGCATTACTCATAAACGTTGCTGTGCGTGACACAGAATTAGAGGGGATTTCACACAGACATCTGGTGCCTGCTGATAGGCCCCCGGGTGACCCAGGGACCGAGGGGTTAAGATGACATGACATGAAGATCGGTAGTTGTCTTTGGATCTTATTATCTGGGAAGTTAGCCGATGATGTGTAGGGTTTCAAAAAGGCGGTTACGTAGTTCTGACTTTAAATCCTCTGAACACCCATGCAGGTGTTTTCCATTTCACCTGGATGACTAGACCTCTTCTCAGGACTGTGTGGGGGGGTGTGTGCAGGCTGACATCTTCCAATGTCCCCATGTGAGCTTTCTTGCACCTGTTAGGGGGCGGGACATATCACACCTCTGTCACTCTCATTGGTAGATTTGTGAATAACTTCTCAACCTGAGCCAAGGTTCAATCAGCCAGAATAACTGAAAACACCTGCGCGGGTGTTCAGAGGCTTTAACGCGCCCTGTTCAAATCGTTCAGGGGTTAAGACATAAAGGTGTTGTGTTGTTTTTTTTTTAGGAGAGTATTTTACTGGTATGAGGTTCTGCAGCTCGAACAAGTTGAAGCCGGGAGGGAAAAATCCCCTCATACTTGTCAATTCAGCCTCATTTTAAAATAATCCCAAAGGTATATACTAATGGAAATTGCTGATGGAATCTATCAAGCATTTATTGTTAATTTTCTTACTTTTCTATCAATGTATTTCTGCTCTGGTTGTTTGCCTAGTTGCAAAGTATCAAATTGCACCTAAATAATATTGTTGCAAGAGCTTTAAAAATGAAAGAAGACACTTTCCAGTGTTTCCAGTGTTACTGTTGGACAAAGTCAAGACTCACTCTGAGAAATAATTAAAAAAAAAACAACACATTTTCTTTTAACAAACCACCCCACTGGAGATGGTTGTTTTGCCACAGCTGACTGAATCGGAGACGAAATAAATAGTGCCCTATAGTTCAAAGTGACGAGCAGAGATCCCAGTAAGCTATGCTGACACCGCTGGGTCACCTTCAAAATGTTACACATCTCTTATCGTGAAGTTTAGATTTTGTCTTTGGTCTGGCTGCCGTTGTGATCGAGCACAGCTTTCTGGGTCGGGGTCACCGCTTGGCTTTCAGCAATCGAGATGCCTTTGGGTTGTTTGTTTTTTTACTCTTGAACTATACTTCAAGGGTTGGGAAGTTTAAAAAGTTTTCAAACCTGGCCGGTGTCTTCATCTGGATGTTTCCCATTGTCCTATTTTGTTTTGTGAAGTCCTAAAGTGAAGTCCCTAAAACTCAATCCAAAGAACAACATATCAAATGTTTAGCTTCTTGGCTACAGAGCTCCGTTAGCAGCACCTGCTCTGTTCTCCGTTTCTGAGCCCAGAAATGTGTGATTTGACCCTATGACCCCAGTATTTTTTATTTTTTTTTACCAGATATGAGAATCAAATGTAAATCGGCTGCAAATTATTTGTGACACTTTTCCTGTCCCCTCCCTCTCTCTCTCCGCTCTGCTTGCAGCTACTGTGTGTACCTGCGGGTGAAACAGGCTAGCGCGGTGTGCAAACTCAAACTGTGGAGCGCTCAGCTGGTGAGAGAGAGGCTGGTCTGTGCCGAGTGTCAGAGCGACGCCATGTCAAAGTCCGACCGCTGTGGAGGCGACGGCCTGGAGAGCACCAGGTAAACCCAACGACCCCACGGAACAACTAAAGACGGGTTCTCAGCAGTTTTTCACTTTAGTGCAGGGTATAGCATTTAATGGAGCGCAGCCATCTGCAGACTGGCTGGAGAAAACCAGGAGGGGAACATGTCCATGAGCAAGGCACCAAAAGGGAACAAACGAATGTATGTCTTTGCATGCAGTTAAAGGTTCAGCATGTTGAATGATGAGCTCACAGACACACATCTATGGGATCTGAAAGAAGGGAAACTTCCTCAACACAGATGGTGTGACACTTTGTACTCTTTAGCCGAACATATGAATATGGACTTAGTTAATGTGGACTAAAATATGATAAAAAAATCGTATTCCTTTGTTAGTTGTGCAGTTAGCAACAGCGTAAGTATTAGTTCGACAGGGCATCAATCTGTGAAGGATTGTCAAACCGGAGTAGCTGGTCATTAAAACCTCTTGCAACACGACGCCTTCGGGGTTAGGGGGGCTCGCTAATATCGTCCAGAAAATGCTCATTTTGATAGCCAGAATTGTACATGTGTACATTTTATATACCGGATTAAACAGCAACGTATGGGCAACACTATCATATAAGTCACTTTTTACACACTCCAAACACAACTATAGACTACTAATATAAGCAACTAGAAAATGTGCCATAAAACCATGAATTCCTGGCCAAAAATCTGCGTCATATTTAATGCACATCGATATTGCACCTCGAAGCTAACCGCTATACAGCTAATCCGCACATCGCTTAGCATTAGCATTTGACACAGAACGCATAAATACCTTCGGTTTTTCTCTCCGTGAAACCAGTAGAAAGCTGTGAGTGACCAACGCTACCATAACAGTGCCCTTCGTCGAAAAATATCGTTGGTTTTTGGTCACGTTTTCTGAAGAATTATGACAATAACATCGAAAATGATCCGGTTTAAAAATAGAGTCATTGTTGGCAACTGCATCCTGTCTGCATCCGATCTGTTTCCTGTAGAAGGGGGGTCAATCCACCATGGGCGAGTGGTCAGACTTTCGGCGAATGGGATTTTACGCTCGGGGATGCGCGCACTCTTTGCATATTTACTCGCTGAAAAATCTGTCAATCAACACCCGGCTTCGACACCTGCCTTCCTGAGACTCTGACGCGTCGAAGGCGGGCTCATTGACTGAAATCGACCGATGATAGGTTGAACCAGAGCCCCATACACACACAGCAACTGAGAAAATCCTATGCATGAGAGCCAGAGGACCCTTGCTCTCAAAATGATTCCAAACGGCTGTATTTGGATGTATTGAATAATATGAGTGATAAAAAAAGTGAAATATATAGTTATATAGTATATAAAAGTACAATATAAGAGCTGCAACAGCTGGTTCCAAAATGACGACCTCGCGTGACCTCTCTGTACTAAAGCCTCTTATTCTTCACTTTATCCCACCCAACCTTTTTTCTACGAATACTGATCGGTTGTGCTATGATTTGGGAGAGTTTTTAGGCTCTCAGCTGCATTATTTCAAAAACATAATATCAATAAATGTGCTTTTTTTTCAGGCGAACCTGAATATTTTCAATTTGAGCTGTGTAATATCTTCATGTACTATATTAACCAGCAACATACACACAATATTACCCATCTGAACAATCTCACAAGTGTTATCTGATTATAGCATCAAAAATTATTAAAATAGACCTTGTAGTTACAGAATTGTGGTCTCTTTAGTATGAGCATGCCATTTTCGAGCAGAGGCCTACAAATAGGGCTAGAGTTTAAAAGGTTTTAATAAAGTAATCATTGCCTTCAACATACATTAGAAAAGTGTGCAGTCATAAAAAGCATCCATTAGTCATAATAATGGAAAAAGAAATCATCTAAATGGTCTCTCTCTCTCTTCCCAGAACGTTCTGGGCGGCGGCGTCGGTGCCGGGCTGTCACGGCTCCTGGGTGCGAGAGTCGTCCTCCGAGGGCTGCCGGTGTCCCCCCTACTCTGTGCTGTTCGTGTGAGCCGACACGCACAACCACCGGACATCCACGCGCACGCAGGGGACGACCAAGCCCCCCCCCCCCCCCCAACCAACCCCACACAACCCCTTCCAATCCAGATTAACGGACGGGTAAACTCAAGGAGATCAGCAGCATCCTGCCACTTTAGTTTCACCTCTCACCTCATACTCTGTACTGGTCACATTATTAACTAAGCACACCGCAAAATTCTCTAATTTAACTTTTACGGCCACATTGTGTACTTATCCTCCAAAGCACAACAGCATCTATGTACCTTTTTTTTTTTTAACCTCTGAATCTCTGCTATCTACCTCCATCAATGCAAGTGCATTTGTTAATGCATAATGTATAAATATATGAATATATTATTTTGCTTTATACATTTTCTACTTTTGAGCGTTTATGTCTTATGTATATGTACCTATATAGCCACACTTATTTGTATCCAACAGTCAAAAAACACCAAACGGCAGTTGAGGCCCTCGGCCAGGGGTCCCTTAAATGGCTCTGAGGGCTGGAGACACTGAGACTGGTTCATCCAAATGCTACCCAATCACTTGAGTCAATATATCTGTGTTTTTACAGTGTTGTCCCCATTGTTGCGTCTTTTTCCGTCATCAAAACATTTCTACCAGCAAGTCAAGTTGAATATCAGGTATTGATTCTCAGGTGCTTGTCTCCCCCATCGAACGTCTTCTACTCCCTCGCGTGAGCCTCCTCTTTTAGTTGCTTAAAGGGACTCATGGCGTCTGTCGAGACCTGATATTATTGGAGTGTGTGTGTGGGGGGTTGATAGGAGAAGGAACCATTTAGGAGGTGTGTCTCTCTGTCCTCTGCGTCCAAAACTGAAAAGAAGTTTTCTCTCCCTCTTGCTCCCTGCTCAGAAATCCTATCACCGTCACACAAGAGCCATCCGATACTATACCTGCATACAGCCATGCTACTCCCACTGTGTTCGTTAACATGATCTGCACTTCTTTTTTTTCCTTCTCTGCCCTCTATGGACTCTGTGTTTTCTTTAACAAAAAAAACCAGGAGTCAGTCAACAGGCACTTTCTGGTTTAAGAAGAGGACACGTGTGGTCCCAGTAAAAAGGGCTTCTCTCTCTCTCTTTCGCTCTCTCTCTATGTCTCTGTGTTTGTGTGTTTATTTATTATAATAATTAGTGCAGCACAGCATACTCTGTACACTGTCCATAAGTGAAAAAATAAACTACTATACTGTCATTTCTTCTCCTCCCCCCCCCCCACCAACCTTGTCATATTTTCTAACGTTCACATTTATTATTGCATCCCCCGCATTCAGATGTCACACAGACCACCATTAGCATTTCTGACCCCTCTCCTCTGCAATTACTACCAGGGGCCCAGCCCTGCTTAAGTATATCCCTCGGTTTGACCAAATGTTTACGCGCAGCACTTCAGTCAGAAGAAGTGCCATGAAGATATGCAATGCGTACCCATCCAGATACTTTCCTGCTGCATTCTTCACGTTTTTTCGCCCCCTGTGGTGTAAACGGGATGACGACAGGCAAAATGACAACTAATGTGTATAATTACGTTTGAAGTTTTTTTTTTTTGAGCCACACTCTCCTACAATTTGGGGGTTTGCTTATGTGATGTGTATATGCCGAACATTCTAAACACGAGACACAGGACAACTTACATAATGTGGAAATACATGTTTTTCGCAGCAGCTTCGGACAGAAAAGATGCCCAATTTGAAAAAGCCAGTTTGTCCTCCTCCTGAATGTGATATGTGGGCTAGTTAACTAAACATGGAGGGAGAGGTGGTGTCTAAACCTTGACTCTGACCCTGAGAGATGTTCATAAGGCCCTTCCTCCACAATATTAGAACCTTTTATTTTTTTTCTATATCCCAGCCTTGTGCAAAACACACTAATGCATCCCTTTTATGGCTTATTGGTCAGGCCATTCACTGCACAGTAGGTCATAGCTGGAGACTCAGCTGAGGAACAGTGAAGTGAAGCACAATGGACACATTTGAGGATGTAAATGTTACATGTTTCACATCTTTTTTTTAAAAATGCGCAGCTTCTTTGATTGAAACACGAGCATAAAAAAGAGCTAACAAATCAACACTTCCAGAGTTACTCCTTTGAGAAAGACTCCTGCTACTTTGATTCATCTCCGAGGCACTTGAACCTTGATTAAACCCCCCCCTCCTCACCCTTCCTCTGCACTCCTCCCTCCCTCCTCCCCCTTCCCAGACCCCCTCAGTCAGCACAACCTCTTTCTTTTCTTTTACTACAACAGTGGCAATAGAGTCCCGTCAGCCTGACCAGTACGCCTCCCCCCCCCTCCCTCCGCCCTGGCTGCCCTGCCTCTGGCTGCTAACTGCGCTTTCCAAAGGGCAGGAAGGCCCCGTCTCTGGCCCGGGTGCCTGATGGCCTCCGACAGCAGTGTGTTCTGGGATTACGCCCGGTGAAAAGGGGGGCATTCCAGCACCGACGGGCCTTTGTCACAGCGCGGCCACTGTTTGCTTTTGACAAGACAGCTGTTTAAAGCCCTCCCGCCCAGCACCACCACCACCACCACCACCACCCTCTCAACGGATGGCAGTCGAGGGAAAGAACCCAGGGGTGACTTCCGCTTATCGGCGGTGTCGTCGGATGCACCTCCACCTGAGGTCCCCTCAGTGGTGCGTTTATCTGGAGCCCTGCAGATAGAACTTTCTGTCATGCAGCTATAAGATAGTCCCTCTGGCTTGGTGCATTTTTCCGTGACCCCAAACGAAAATGGCAACTGCTCAAGCAAGGCGGGATTGATTTATCTGTGCAACTGCCTCGTCTACTGGAATATCCTTGACTCCTTCCCTCCTATCCTAATGTGCTGTCATAACCTTACATCACCACACTTTGGGTTGTAGCTATAGGAATGATGTGCCCAAATACACACCCACTTCGCCGCCATCACCATCCGCGTCCACCCATCCACAACTCGAACATAACCCAACACTCCTGCAGCTTGGGGCCCTTGGTCGTTGGTACCCCAATCTTACCCCCTCTGTGTGTGTGTGTATGTATTTTTGGGAAGTGTGTACTGTAATTAGCAAGTCATCCTAATAAGGGCTTGTCGCCACTGTGGGAGCAGCTGGTCCGACACAGAGGAATGATAATGAATAGATGCCTCGACACGAGGACCTGAGCTACACACAGCAACACAGCTGGTACACCAGCAACCATAGAAAACACACACACACACACACACACACACACACACACACACTATGATGGTCATCGTCTGTGTCTTGTTTTTAAGGATTATGACAGAATACTTTAAGGACTTTTGGTTTATTGTAACTGCAGTAAAATGAGCTTTCTCTGCTTTGCCAAAAAAACTAAATTATCTGAATAATTTTGGTCCGTTTTGATCTTAAGTTTACTTTGAGAAGCATTAAAGAGTTTTGATGTTTATGTTTTTCGACTGTTAGAAGTGCACTCGGGATTCAAATATGGCCTCTATTCCACTTCTGTCTAACAAATATCACAGAGTTGCTAAATCACAACGCGTTCAAACTATTAGATACCGTGTCAATATTCACCATCAAACGATTGATGATTGATGGCATCTTTCGGCAGGAGCTTGTGCAGTTCCACCCTGGAAATGTGGCGCCACCTCGTGGTGCTTTTGACTTCCTGCTCCACTTTAACAGGAACACAATTGGCAAGACTCCCCTTCTAAACGTTTTTTTATTGGGTATGTGGCTTCCGTTAGACTACATGTGACCATGGTTCCTCATTTGTTCTCAAATTTTGTGTTTTCATTTCTAGAAAACAACTTTAAAGTGGTTCATCTACTCATAAATGTTTCCCAGAGAAGCTATATTAATAATGGGGGGGAAGTATTTACATTCACATCTAGCTTGTTCACATTCTGCAGAATTCAATACAATGTTCATCACTGTAAAACAATTTGTATAAAGCTAGGGCGGAGGAACATGAATGGACTACATACAATTTCAATGAATAAAACAAAGTGAAGCATCTCGTGGTGAGATGAAGACAAAGGCTGGTCTACTGGACATACAAATGATGTGTAAGGCAAAAAGTGACGTGCAAAGTGTTTTTAGTAGGTATGTGGAGGCTGTCCAGGAAGTTAGCACTGGCATAATGAACCATACACACCAACAACATTCCATATTTTTTTTTCCAAAAAAGCTCTACTTCATTTGTCAATTGTACGTCTTTGGTGATCGAGATAAATTGATCAAATCGCCGAAACCAACAACTCAGTGGAGCTTGACGGAGAATACAAACTATTTTTTACCTGGCAAAAACAGCACATTGAATAGAATCACACAAGTCAACAAATCAGTTACTTTGAGGTGGAAGGATTCGTCAAATCAACATGTCAGCATACAACTGAGTAAAAGGAGGACGTTATGGACAGATGTGACATGGAAATGAATGAGTAAATCCCCAAGAGGAAAATAAAAATGGGATAGAAATGTCTAAAAGCAGCAGGAAAAGAACACACTGCTTATTCAACAGAATATAGGATGGAGAGCCAGGATGAGAGGACAACCTTTTGCCATTTTCTGTCAACGTGAGTCCAAACGTTTGTTTTATTTGAGGTTTTGAATCTGTTGGTTCGTGTTGTGGATCTTAACATCCATCTTGTCCACTTTGTTCATCAGAGAATCAATGGAGTCGTCCTGGTCTTCGATCTCGGACTGCAGACCGAGGCTGAGGTTCTTCAGTCTGCTCAAGCCGCCGCACATCTCATCTAGGTCATTCGGGGGGGGGGGGGGAGAGACACACCGGACGTTGGTTAAATTGGGGACTGGCGGACAATACTTAAAAGGGGAGTGGATGGCAAATTGCGGCAAAATAAATGTACATATCAATACCTAGCTAATTTAAAAGAATAAGCACTTAAAACAGTACTAAAAGCTTTCATCTCCTTGAGCCTTCCCTGTGAATGCATTTTATAAAACCGTATAATAAAATCAAGGAGAAATAACAAGACAATTAATATGGTGAAAATGGTTTTTACCTAAATTATTGTCGAGGGTCTGGTGAGCCTCCCTGAGGTGTCTGTTCTGAGGGTATCCATTCTTGCCGGCTGAGTTGTCATCTCTTGAAGTGGACGCTCCGAATCCTGGAAGACAGAAAACGGTAACGATGGCAGCCGGGTCGTGTTAACGGTTATGCCCCGCTGAGAGTTCTCGCGACAATCTCTTACCTCCCGTCTCCAGCTTTCTTAGATTGGGGTGGCTGGCTTGGTACTCATCTTCGTGTCCTCTGCTGCCGGACAAGGCAGTCTGCAATCTGAGAAAGTCAGATAAGCACGGTTCAGCCGTTTTAGTGAAGGACAGTCAATGATGAGAAGCTGTTGAATTACATTATTCAAAATACGAGTGATTGCTACGGAGGGCTTTGTTGTACAAATATGACCTACAACTCAGTGCCAAATCTCTCAAACTCATGCAAGTGAAGACATTATATTGTTATATATCGTAATATCATGGCCATAAATGAAATTATTTTCATTCAGTGTTTATAGAGTCATAAAGGTGTCTTAGTTTTGTTGCATACCTGCCTGAAAATGTTAGCAATTGACCCGTGTTGTTGGTAAGATGTATTTTATTATTGTGTAAACAAAATGTGTGGCTGTGATGATTAAACAGGTGAAGCAGTATTTTATTCAGTTAGAGCAAAGGTGGTCAAATAAGTTTCAGAAATACATTTCAGGCGCTCCAAAAAAGAAATTGTCGAGATACATCGTCTTTGTGGTTTTAACAACTCATAATATAATCAAAATGAATACAGCAGATGTACAGAGATTGATGCATAACAAACTAATACAAGTACATCAACGTTAACATTTTTTGCCAGCTTGGAATTTGTATCATATTATTGAAAATTGAATAAATAAAGATTTCTGAGACGATAGTGCTGAATCTTACCTGTCGTTGGCCTGGTAGGCCTTTGGCTCCTCAGGTGGTGGCTTTGTCTCTGGCTGGCCCTTGAAGTAGTTGACGAGGCCGCCCCACATGCTCTTGATGCCGTTGATGTGCTTCTGGCTGGTCTTCAGGTCCTGATCCATGTTGTCCATCACCTTGTCGGCCCTCTTCAGAACCTCACCCTGTCTAACCAGCTCCTACAGAGACAAAGAAAGACATTTAAAAAGATAGATAGCATTTTTGTGTTCACTGTCACCCTCTCAGGGACAATATAATCTTCTGCGTGGCAGGGTAAAGCCGATTACTAGTTTGACGCACCTCTGCAGTATCCACACCAATCTTCTCAGATTCATAGATGAGTCCGAGGGAACGGTGACTGCTGTCCACAGCAGACTTAGCCGTGTGCATCACTTGCTGCTGGAGGTACCGCTGTCTCCTCTCCGGTTCGCTGAGCCCACTGTCGTCGTCGTCGTCGTCATCGAACTCCCTTCTTTTGGGCTTGAAATCATCCTCATCGTCGTCCGCAAACGGGTTGTGGGATTTAGGGTAGGCCATCTGTGGGGCAGACAGACACACACAGACACACACACACACACACGCACGCACGCACGCACGCACACACACACACACACACACACACACACACACACACACACACACACACAGTGTTTTGACAAAATAATCTCAACTCAAGGTCCAGTAGCCATTTCCAGAGCTCTCCACCGCATCTCATTGTCTTCATCAACTATTTCTGAGCTCAAGAATGAACTGTCACGCCCAGCCAGACAGTGGGGAATAATATGTTTGAAATGGGAACAAAATTGTACTTTTAATTGACCAACCGGAAGTTAAACAATCGATTTTAGTTTTAATAATCAATTAACTTTACTGATCTATTGAAAAAAACATTCTGAATACAGACTCACACAAGTCAAGAGTTGCTTATCTTCATTTCATATCACAACAATGCAAATATACTATTTACTGGATTTTGTTGTAACTTGGATTTATTATCTTTTGACATTATCAGAATCTGAATCAGAACAGTTTATTGCCATGGAAGTTTGCACCTACAAGGAATTTGTCATGGCGGGTGGTGCATAACATTTAGCAATAAACAATATTAAACAATCAATAACAATCAACACAGTTATAAAGTTATACAACTATCTGGGTAGCTACTAATAGATAGATGAAGCATACATGTATCACTTCTGATAATAATGCCAGGCCTGCTTAGTTGAAACCTTACAGTTGAAACAGTAAACATTCTTAGGAAGGACCAACTGACATTTTGATTTGACAAATGGCATCCCAATTTTGAGAGGAATTAGTGAACGCTTCCTTAGATTGTCAGCTTCAGCTGTCAACGTGTTTCACGCGATCAATAAGCTAAAACACCTACTGGGTCATAGTGGCAAATGTAAATGACACTATTGCTCCGGTAGCTAACGTTAACTATGTTACAAGTGTTAGCTACGGGGTGTTGGCTGGTTCCTCACGTTAATCAACGAGGATTGCAAGCTAACTAGTTAAATAACCACACCTATGAAAACATTATGCTGCTGTGCCAACATTGACGTTTCTCTCCTCTAAAGTAAAACTGTAATGAGCATAGGTATGATCAATTTAACAGACAAACCTTTGACCGTTGGATCTGTAGACGATGTTGTTGCTCTATCAACTGATTGTGAGCAGCTGAGCACTTCCTGTCACGTTCGGTGACGTCACCGCGTGCTGTCCCACCGGCTAATCCTGCGCAACAAAAACGCACACCGTGATACTGAAGTCACTTGTTCAGGAAAAATAAATAGTTTAAACATGACACTAGGTGAGAGAGTGCCTTGTTTACTTGTCACCTTTATTACAATATTTTTTTATGGTTAAACGCCATAGACTGTATGTCAAATCCAAATCGGCTAATTAACCTGCAGACCATCGTTAGGATTGTCCGTGCTGAGTTGCCGTACTGCGGCTCCGCCAGCGCCAGCGCCAGTTGCAGTTGCTCGTCCGTTTCCACTCCTGAGTCTTCGCAGAGTGTCGCTCGTCTGATGTGGGGGGAAACATGTCTGTGTCGGGAGGCGGTACGAGAGGGTTTTACTTCAACACAGTCCTGTCGCTGGCCCGCTCTTTAGCTGCCCACCGTCCAGCGCCGGTCGAAAAGGTGAGGAGAAAACGGAGCGAGCTTCAAGATGAATTTGTTTTAACGCTAATTAGCTGGGTAGTCCGGGGTGTCGCTCCACTTCCGCGCACAGTCGATGGCTTATTTTTGATCAATGACAGCCATGCTAGCATTTGACATTTGACACCCGAGTGCGTCTGTAGACAACACCCACTTTATTTGTTATTGTTCCTGCAATAGAAGAAGAAAAGCAATGCCGAATAAAGTGGCGTTGCGGCTTGTGCGGGTTCAGCACTGCAGTCAAACAGGTTGATTGTGAAAGGCTCGCGGTGCGTCCTCCTTTTAGCATGATAGACCATTTAATAGCAAACTGTTACGGGGACGGTCAGGTCTGACGTTACATTGATCGTGTTTATCTGGCCAATAAAGCAAGATTTAAAAAAAAACAGATGTGTTGAGCAAAGTTTGAATTTGATTCTATCAAAGTAAATATGAGGGGACATATGGAGGCAATCATCAATACACTGACTACTTGTTGTTTGATGGAGCACATGGGTTTGATACAACGCCCAGTTTAGATGTTTTTTGGGAATGAGGCATAGTGACGTCATGCCCTATGCCAAATATGTATCCTTGTTATCGTGATACCATTTACAGGCGACTGCAACATAATAGCTTATGGTTCCCACCTTGATAGTAACATACAGATAACTTTATTGAACCCCAGGAGGGAAATAGACAGATGAGGTAGAACAAATATGTACAAATAATGTAAAATATATGTATTTACCACATGAAACCCAAGACCAGTGTGCATAAATGTAATGTACGTGCAAAACATAGTACAGTTTCCTGATATTTCCGGTAAACTCAGTAATAGAACATGCAGTCACACTGCAGCACAAGACAATTTAATCCAAATGTGCCTGATCTCTGTCACAAGTTTATTCCGAGACCACGGTTTCATGATCTCTTTGCGCTCTTTCAGGTCCAGAAGCTACAATGCATGTGTCCAGTGGAAGTCCGCGGTGTGTTCACCCTGGACGTGCGTCGCAGAGATGCTGTTATTGCTTTGGCTGTGTTTCTGGTGGAATCTGGCTTACAGGTGGGTGGTGTTCAGTAAAAACAAAAGTCAGACCGCTGAGCCGGTGTGTGGGTTTCACTATCGCTTCAAACATTTGATTTTTAGGTAATGCATAATAACCATAATAATATGGTTGATTCAAACATTGCACAAGTTACATAGTTTAGAGATTCTTTTTCTGATTAAAAATCTGATTAAACTGGCGCTTAGACACCCAGCTGATCATGTAAAGCCTCTAACCTCATCACACTAAGACGCAGTGTGGAAAGCTTCCCCTCCATCTGACCATGTAGAGATGGTGTCTTCACTTTTCATTGCGGAACTCAAGTTGGATATATTTTCTTGTGTTTATTTATTTTCCTTTTACAGTCCTTATCTTCGATTTATCAGCGCTTGTGAGGTAAACAAAAGTGCTGCTCTGTGCCAACGAGTGCGGTAGCTTTTGGTGTGTAATGATTTGCTTCCCTCTGGCAGCACAAAGACACACTTGTTCCCTACTTGCTGAGCCTGTTGAGAGGGCTGCCACGGGTCCAATGGATCGAAGAGAGGTCGGGAAAGAAAGGAAAGGGTGAGAGCAATCCTCTTACAGTGGGGCCTTTTGTTTTACAATGGCCTCCATTTACTCGCTGTAACGGTGCTCCCAGTAATATTTGTAGACTAAGATATATTGAGATCCATAAAATGCCACTTCTTGCTGCACACATGAGTAAGATTGAACTGTAGGTCTTTGTCATTTTCTGCCCTTCAGAATTTCTCCCGGTTGCGGAAAACTTCAGCTACTGTCTAGTGACTCTTTTGTCAGATGTGGCTCAGAGGGACCCAGACTCCCGACAAGAGGTCGGCTTTAAACGTGTTGACAACATCTAGTTCTTAGGTTAGGCTGTATTGCAGCGTAGTGCTAAGTTATTGTTTTCCCTGCAGATCATGAACACTTTAATGGAGGTCATGCAGTCACTGCAGGACATGTGCCAAACACCTGATAATCATGATAAAGGTATAGTACACACACACACACACACACACACACACACACAGGCAAAAAACTGCACACTGTAACATCAGTCCTTCAAAACAAAAAGCTTCATGGATGCTCTCTTGCCTTCAGTCTACTTGTGCAGGTACATCGTCCCCAGCCTGCTCGGCATGACTCGAGCATTCGGCCGCTACAGTTACACAGACGAAGCGCTGCTGTCCAAGCTTTTCCCCAAAGACTCGCCACAGGTCACCCGCTGTGTCGCAGAGGAAACCGAGGGAGTGCGGCGCAGGTCCTTCAACGACTTTCGCTCCATCATGCCGTCCGCGCTGCTCACGGTGTGCCAGAGCGACAGTCTGCGCAGACGCACCGGGACCAACCGGGACCCCTCTGCACAGGTGTGTGTGTGTGTGTGTGTGTGTGTGTGTGTGTGTGTGTGTGTGTGTTCGTATGGTGTGATGGAGCTGTTTGGATTCAAGACACGTTTAGTGTGATTATCAGAGGTGACTGTAGAGTTATCATATTCTGACATGCTTTGTGATTTTATTATGCCTACGACCGGCGTTATGATTTTCGGGTTGTCCCTCAGACAAATTTGACACAGACGTTCACTTGCACTCGAGGTTGAACAGATTATAATTTGGTGGTCAAAGGTCACTGTGACATCACAAAACACTCAATAATTCATATGCTAATTATGGCAATTTCACACAAATGTCTATTAGAGAGAAAGAGATTTTCAATGACTAGGTTGTGTTTAGTTGGTGGTTAAAGAAGTGCTTTGTCTCATAGGTCTTTTCAGATGCAGGGGGCCACTCACCGTGCTCTCCTACAGCCGCTGGACAACATTACTTTGAAGGTAAAATACAAGAAACACAAGCTGCTTCGATTAGATGTATGTCTGTCAACTCGTCCTAGCTCAGACATGTCAAACTCGAGGCCTGCGGGCCGAATCCGACCCGCCACATCATTTTATGTGGCCTGCGAATCCGCCAGCAAAAAAAATAAAATGTAAATGTTAGACTTGAAAATAAAAACATTAAAACAGGTGGATAGGAGAGGCAATGGCTCGTAAAGCGGTTTTCCAACAAGTGATTGAGTTGAAAAAGATCGACAAATAAACCCAAAATGTCCAAGAAGAGAAAAATGTATGCAGATGGAAATGCTTCTAGGAGGAAAACCTGTCTGTCTTCTGTGTTATGAGGCAGTGTCGGTGATAAAGGAATACAATTTACGTTGGCATTTTGACACCAAACACAGAGATTTATATAACTGCATGTACACTATTTTTACACTTGAATAAACAATAATCAAATGCAGAGACAGTTATTTAACAATATGTTGGGGAGTAGTTACAATTATACAGTCTTACAGTTACAACCGTCCCTTTGAGGGAAACCATGCTGCTGATGTGGCCCAGAGTGAAAATGAGTTTGACACCCCTGTCCTGGCTCATCATTGAGTCGTCACATTATATTATGGAACAACTACGTACTTACGTATTGCTTATCTGCACGTATGCTGAATGAATGACATTAACTTGGGGTACACTGCAGACCTATCTCACATGCTGTAGTAATCCATGTCATACATCCAGTTTTCATTTGGTAACCCATACTCTGCATTCAGTGTTTCTTGTCGTCCCTTTTTATTTTAGGTCCCTACCTCCCGGACAGCAGCACAGCAGACCCCGACTACTATTTCTCAACAGTCAGCTCCAGCTCCTCGGTGTCTCCTCTCTTCATGGGAGCTGAAAACGAGGTGGAGGTTCCCGTCGATCTGCTACGACAGCTCCTGGCCATGGTAGAGTAGCCCACTACCCGTTTACCGAGAACCGCCGTGTCCCATCCTGTCATCGTGTATTGCATCTTTACCGGTGGTTGTGCATGTTGTCGATTCGCAGGTGAAGAAGTTCGTTTCCGACTCGTTTTTGCAAGCTCTGGACGCCGCCATGACAGAGGTTACAGAGGTAACTATGCACCCACTGTCTGTACAAAACGTTATAGTTGGTCAATTAAAAGCTTGTTCCATGATCTGTTAATTAATATTCTCTGTCATTGTCTCTTCTGTTTGTTGTTAAGTCTAATCCTGGAATCAACCTCTATTACAAAACCTTCAGTGACACTCTCCATGTGTGCGTGTTCAAAATGCTGCGGGACACACTGTACTACATGAAAGGTAAAGCATCACGAATAGCTCATTCATTATGCATTACACACAGCCCTGCTTATTGTTGTATGGTGGTCTATTAAATAGACTTCTTCATCCGAGCTCTCTGATCCAAAACTGTTAAATTTGTGTTTATTTTTCCTAACATGTAGCTCCTTTGCTCGATGTTTTTAAAATTTGAATGTATTGAAAATGTTTTTCATCTTTGTTTGTCTGCCATTTCTCTCTTGTAAAGCACTTCGTAACCTTTGTTTTGAAAAGTGCTTTATAAATAAAGATTGTTATTATTACTTTGACAAATACTCTCTTCGTGTTTCTCAGCCTTGCAGCCAACATTTGTACGGCAAGTGCACGACTTTGTGCTGGAGCAGTTCAGCAGCAGCCAGTCGGAGCTGCAGCGGGTACTTCATGACATGGGGGGGGTTGCCGGTGGAGCAGAGCCCCCTCAAGCTCCGTTGCCAAGCCAACGCCGCCTGCGTGGATCTCTTGGTGTGGGCAGTCAAAGATGAGCAAGGTAATCGATTGTAGCAGAACACCGTGTTCAGATGTCGTAATCACATACTGGATGTTTGCTCTGATTGCATCACTTCACCGATGTCTCTTTTGTCTTTTGTTCCAGGAGCTGAGAATTTGTGCACAAAACTGTCAGAGAAGCTGCAGTCCAAAACTTCCAGTAAAATCATCATCGCTCACATGCCCCTGCTCATCTGTTGCCTACAGGTAGAATGCTGCTCGGCAGACACGGCGCTAAGATATTTGCTCAAAGAGAAGTGAAATGTTACACAAGGCACCACATCACAAGGTTTTGTCTCGAAAATGACTTCATTGAAAGGAAGCGAGTATCCTGGTGATCGCCTGGTTTCAGAGCTGACCCAGACCCGTGTTGCGTGGCCTTAATTTCTGATATTTTTTATTATTGTATCTGACGGCCTCCCTCTCGGTTTCAGGGCCTGGGTCGTCTGTGTGAGAGGTTTCCAGTCGTCGCTCACTCTGCCTCGACCTCTCTCAAGGACTTCCTGGTGGTTCCTTCCCCTGTCCTTGTAAAACTCTATAAGTATCACTGCCAGTACACCACAGGTATTGATATTTATTTATTCATTTATTATTTACTGCAGTTTCTGAGGAATGCTTGTACCTCCTGATTAAAACTCATAGGAGTTAGAATGTAATAGTTAACCAATCAACAATGTAAATGTCACAGTTGAAACAAAAGCAAAAAAAAATTGTAATGTGTCCACGATACCTCTAGCAGGAAGGATTTTGATCTCAACTGTAGCACAAATGACCAGAGATAAAAGTGAATGGGACAAAAGTGCTGTAGCTGGTGATACAGTGTCGAATATAAGTCAATAACAGTTGTCACATTCGACTCTCATCCACTATTGATCTGGACAGAGCTGCTGCAAATACAATTAGAAATGCAGTTCAGGCTAACGTTCTCAATGTACTGCTTTTTTTTTTTTTTTTTTTTTTTTTTTTTTTATAGATTTGCTGCTAATTTGTTGTATTCTAAAAGATAACATGCTCTTTACATTTGGCACCACAATCTGCCCTTTTCTGCTCTCTGCAGGATCGTATTTTCTCCAATGTTTTAAATTGTAACACATTTAAAACTGCTTGTTTTTAATTGCTCTTCTTCGTCGGTGTTTCTGTCTTTGCGCTGTCGTCCTTTTTCTTTTTCTTTTTTTTTTTTTTTTTATTTTTTTTTTTTAAGGCACCGGAGAAATAAGGATAAACGTGACCAATGAGCACTCTCAGTCCACCTTCAACCTGCTGTCAAACAGGAAAGATCAGCCGTCCATGTACGAGCAGCTCCGAGACATTTCCATTGACAACATATGCAGGTCAGACTCAAAACACCCGACACAGCTGTAGTTAGAAGATATGATTTTTGATGTGCTTTTTTTTAAACTTTCATCTCTGTGTATTTCTCAGATGTCTGATAGCTGGTCTGACCATGGACAATGACATAGTGGCAGCCTTTCTGGCCAGTCTGTCCAACCGGCTGTACATTTCACAGGAGAATGACAAGTGAGCAACATTTCTGGTTGGGGGGGGGGGGGGGGGCTTCATTGATATTTTCAAATCCATGATACTGTCGAACAGCTACTCTAAAAATACAATTTGCCTCTCCGCCAGGGACGCCCATTTGATCCTCGACCACACCATCCGAGCACTGGGCCACATTGCAGTGGCCCTGAGAGACACTCCCAAAGTCATGGAGCACATCCTACAAATCCTTCAGCAGAAGTTCTGCCAGCCTCCATCCCAGCTGGATGTGCTCATCATCGACCAGCTTGGCTGCATGGTCATTACGGGAAACGTGAGTTCAAAGATGCACGTGGTAACATTGCCTCCATTATTTGATGCAATTATGGTTGAAAAGGGTTATTAGGCCGGTACATAACCACCGGGAGATCATTCAAATGGGTGAACCGTTGATATAGTAATGGTGTTATGTTAGACAGTTGCTTCAATAGAAGCAATGCAAACCCTTTTTTCTTAACCCGGTGGGGCTGACACACTGTAATTAATTTCCGGAAACCTGCTGTCTGCTTGCTCATTACAGTGTGCATTGAGAATAGGTTCCAGTATTCTAATTGACTCCCCCTTTGTGTGTAACGGGGTGTTTTAGACAGCCAGCGTACCCAGAGCGTGACAGACTACAATTAGGACTGGAAAAGGATCTGACCTTAAACAGCAGATACAGATTACTTACCAAATGCCTTCCTCTGTAATCATGAGGTTTTTGAATTTAAGGGAAATTGTAAATGTTAAATTCAATTTTAATAGAATTTTATTTGTGCAGCCCAATTTCACAAATCCCAATTTTGCCTCGAGGGCTTTACAACCTTACAACATACGGCATCCACTGTTCTTGGACTCTGACATCGGATAAGAAAAACTCCCCCCAAGAAAGACCTTTAACAGGTTTTGTTATAAGTGGTAAGAGAAGATTAGCCAACAGGGCATTTGTAACCTATTGGTGGCTTCGTAGTCTTATTCCTGTCTGTTTGTCTTGTAGCAATACATCTACCAGGAGGGGTGGAACCTGTTCCAGCAGATCAGTGTGAAGGCCAGCTCAGTGGTCTACTCGGCTACCAAAGACTACAGAGACCAGGGCTACAGGTCAGCATCTGCTCTCTGAGCGTTAACAATTGTTGCTCACTGCGACTAAGTAGTCAGCTGTAGTCTCCTGATTTGAGTGTCATCGTGTTTTGTCATATTTGATAAATAATTGAGATGATAAATACGTCTTGTTGGTGTTTAACTGATCCCTCCATCTATGCCGTCTCCCCCCCCCAAGGCACTGCTCTCTGGCAGTGATAAATGCTCTGGCCAACATTGCAGCCAACCTCCAGGGGGAGCAACTCGTGGATGAACTGATGGTGAACCTTTTAGAGCTGTTTGTCCAGCTGGGCCTGGAAGGAAAGAGAGCCAGTGAGAGGGCCTCAGACAAAGGACCAGCGCTGAAGGTAAAAGCTTAAATGCATCTAAACACTACAAGAACATGAACAGCAGCAAAGTTGGTGAATTGGCTCTTTTTCTCCCCGTAGGCATCAAGTAGCGCTGGAAATCTTGGAGTCCTCATTCCAGTGATTGCTGTGGTGAGTATGTGATGTCTGTACGAAGAGCTTTGAGGACTATGAACATTCATTTTGACAAGAATTTGTGTTGAAATACAACGATCTACAGTATTTGAGTGCTTCAGATGATTGTAGAGGTTAGTTAGCATTTAACTCTGTCGACAAATATTTACCCTGTTTACAGCTGCAGAACAAACATCTGTGTCACAAGTTCACTGCTGAATTTTAATTCATGCTGTTAAATTGTGGTTATTAATATTAAAGCCGCCACAGGAAACGCCTCATTTTGTGTTGATTTTGGCAGTTCACTGTGGACCAAAGCGGTCGTGTGTCCGAAGCACCAGAGTCCCTTCAGAAAACACCTCATTTTTACTGCCAGATTGCTTGTTGATGGTCTCATTTACTTATGTAGGTCATATAGACATCTGGATTGAGACTGTTTCAGAACATATACATACATTTCTATGTATACATAGTTTTGTATTTATATAATTAAAAATAAGATACGAAAAAACAAGTTTTCTTTCCGTTAAATCCTTGCCTAGTAGTTTTATATATTTTATTTTCCCCTCTCGTGTATTATTTATGTTTTTATTGTCTTTTTGGAGTTATTACAGTACGACATTCAGGTAATGACCGTTACATAATGTCCTTGTTTTTGAGCACATTTATGCACTTTCCTCATTGCACAAAATAAAACATTAACAGACAGATAGCAAACATTTGTAGAGTCTCTCCCGCAGACTCGCAACACTTTGAGGAACATGAAGGGGAAGTTTAAATGAAAATTAAGAGACTACATACATATAAAGACTCATTACTTCATGTTTTATTGTACATAGTGTAATAACAGAAGTAATTTATTATTAACAAAACACCCCAGGTATTTCAAACGGTGATGTTTCAAACCAAATATTGAATTTGTAGGGAATATATTAGCTGTTTAAAAGGTCGAGTTTAGTTCTGTGAAGGATTGACCACCCGGCCCATGAACACAAGGCAGTCTGTGCGGTGCTCGTAGATCAGGAAGAGGAAGGGGCGGTCCACAGTGAAGTGGATCTGAGAGGAGAGGGGCATGAAGCCCACCTGGGTCAGAGCAGCAGCCTCGGTCCCCTCCTCGTTCACTGTGATGGTTCCCTGGTGCTTCAGCTGGGGAAGGAGATGAGAGGGCTTCCATTAGTTTGAAATAGTCTGTACTGTTATTGATTGCAGATGAGCAGGTGTCCTTTTTGTTTTGGATGTTTGTCTCGTGACTGATTTGGTCTTCACTCACCCAGTTCATGGAGACCTTTTCGGATGTCATTCCAGAGAAATCTCCACTCTCCTGGAACAAGTCAGTGAGGCCCATCTCCTTTAGATTTGCAATCAAGTCATAGTTCTGCTCCAGTTTAAACCGAGGTAACACCACCTCTCGAGTCCTGAAGGGAGGCACAGAAAAAGCTCTTAAATCTCCAAGAGGTCTAAACATTTCCAGCTTTTTCACCCAAGCCATTAACTTAAAAAATGTATTGCACATTAATATTTAAAGTGCGCTGCTCTGCATTACTTTCCTGTGAGAACGCTGCTTACCTGTTTGTCATGTTTTTGAGCCACTTGTTGACAACAGTGGGAGAGATCTCCTGCTCCAAGGTCCTCATGCCGGTGATCTTCCTCGGCAAGGCAATGAGCATGCTGATGTGTCCCGTGTAAGGGAGCTGAAAATAAGAACATCTTGTTTATAGACCGGTATGCTGTCTGTCTTCAGGGACCGTGTTGAAATTTCAAGTCGTTGAGAGGCCACCCACCTGCAGGATGTCACACTCTAGTTCGTGGTCGGCAGCAGCCAGATAGTTCCCCTTGTTGGTCATCATTGGCACGCGCACGTTTGTCTTTTCGTTAACTCTGAAGTTGCGATAGTAAGTCATTTCCTTGGGGAATTTCTGTTCCCATGTACCTGTTTATATAGACATGTAAGAGTCATATGTTTACTTTGTGACTCAAATCAAAACAACAAAGCGGACAGATGTGACACTGTGTGCTGATGTTTTCTCTCACCTTTGAAGTACAGGTAGTTGAGCAGCATCAGCACCATATTTGGGTCCACGCTCTTGAGCGGTTCCTTGATCAGCCCTTTGGTCAGCTTTAGGATGCGACGATTGGCCTTGTTCAGGAAGGCAGGGTCCCCGAAGTCCACCGACTGCGGCTCGGCATAATAATAAGCCTTTGTCTCTGCACGGAAGGCGTCGTTCACCGCGACGTCCCTCTTCACGTAGACGTCGTTCACAGAGCGCAGCGTGTAACCAAAGTTCCTCCTGAAGAGCCTGTGCGTCAGCTTCCTGAAGAGCTTGTGCACTGTGGTGTTGTCGTAGTGATGGCTTGCGTTGACAAAGTCGGCGAATCCCAGCGCTCTGTAGATCTGATCCCGGGTTCCAGGTCCCGCCCCTAAAGACATCATCCCCATGGCGACCGAGATCCCAGCGGGCGCCAGCAGGATGTTGTCGCTCTGGTTGACGTCGTTGCGGAGACTCCGATAGAGGTTGAAGCCGAAATGGGCGTTGACGACGTTGAGGCGCTGGAGGCGAGACCGACCGTGGAACAGCCGCAGGAGTCTGGCGCGGCGGATCTTGGGGTCGGAGGGTTCGGCAAAGATGTCGATGTCTGGGGCCGGTGTGGCGATCTCGTCGATCTCATCCCCTTCTCTGATGAAGCGCATCATAAACTCATCATCCAGACATTCAAAAGTAGAATCGCTTTAGATTAGTTTATGTATTTTGTGCCAAAAGACTAAAAGCACTACGAGTAACTTCTCACCATTCCAAGAGATGAATAGAGAGAATCTCACTTGTTTTTTACCTTATTACTTTACACCTCAACTTTTTTCCTCAACATTTTATTTTTGGTCTAATATCAACAGTCGGTACTCACGTGTAGTCGTCGCTGCCCGCAGCCAGGATCTTATCAAAATCAATATAATCTTCATCCTCAAAACCGTCAAAAACCAGGTCGTTCGTAACGGTCTCCATATCCACCGCCCCCCCCAAGTTCAAAGCCTCGGGGTTCCGGTTCAGGGTCAGTGAAGTGAGAGCTGAGTTCTTTGATCCCAGCCAGGGATGGACCGACCAGCAGGCAGGCCACAGAGATGACGGTGATGAGCCGCATGCTGAAGGCTGAGGACATTTAGCACGGCCGCGTTAATAATCTGATCAACATTTAGAAGATTCCATGACGTTACGGTTTAGTGATTCTGTAGGAATAAAATCACACCGTCACTGAGTAAAAAAATACAAAAGGTTTTATGTAAAATTCCCTTAATAGCAGCCTGACTCTGTGAAATGTCTTACCTTTGCTGTGTTGCTTCTGTTTGTGGGACTAAGAGCAAAGAATTGAATACAAAACTGAACTTTGATGTCGACTCCTCCTGAACAAATAGACCAGATCAAACAGACCAAAAAGTGCTGTGACTGACTCAAATCTTTAACTCTTCACAATTCAGCTAATCTCTTAGAATAATTGATTAGATAGCTATTGAAGGGCTAGTAGTTAGGCAGGAGATATTCTGCAGTTGTTTATTAATATTATGTCTTTATCTTTATTGTATTCAGTATGTAGCCTATTGAAAAACATGTAATTGTATTTGATGGAATTCCCATTTTACCACTTCAAACAGAGTGTGATAATCTGAGTAATGCAACATTAATCGCTCCATGTTTTTCACAATTTTCCTGTGTTCATTTTTCTAAATTACAGTTGACCAGACGGCTTCCGCCAATCAAGGAGCCCAAGCCCCGCCTCCAGAAGCTGTTCAGGGACTTCTGGTTGTACTCTGTGGTCATGGGCTTTGCTGTGGAAGGATCAGGTGAGCGACTCATTTCAGCATGCTACAAATTCTGCACTGCTGCACTCTTATCGCATATACATACATGACATAAAATGATTGGGAGTGGTTGAGTGACATTTTCCTGATTTAGCCCCGCTGAACCTGTTGGGGCTGAATAAACCTTTATCATTCTTGTTGGCAGATGAAGATTTGTGACCTAATAAACTCTCATCAAAGCTCCGGCCCTCTAACAACCTGAGCAGAGGTCTTATCAGCCAGAATGACTGAAGGCTTTAAGCAATTCTTGAGATTTATTTCACACCAGATGGGGAAATATTTAAATTGTGTGATGAAATGGTTCATTAAATAAGATAAACACAGATGTTTGGCCTCTTTAATCATCAGTATCAACCCAAATAGAACCTAAAAACATACTGAGGGGTGTTATTTCACAGCTCTTACTAATGAAATCAAATCCGAGATATTAGCATACCAACACACCAACATCCCTGCTGTTCTGGATACATGTGTTCTTTCAGGGCTTTGGCCAGAGGAGTGGTATGAAGGTGTGTGTGAGATTGCCACCACGTCTCCTCTTCTCACCTTTCCCAGTGGAGAACCTCTTCGCTCCGAACTGCAGTACAACTCTGCCCTGAAAAATGATACAGTCACGCCGGTAACAGTGCTTTTCTTCTTCTTCCAGTAAAGTAGTTCAAAATGGACGTACGACAGTCCGAGCGATCTTTAATTCATCCAATTCTGTCCCCCAGGCCGAGTTGAGTGATCTGCGGGCAACCATCAGCAATCTCCTCGACCCCCCTCCTGAAGGATCTGCCCTCATCAACAAGCTAGACTTCGCCATGTGCACGTACCTGCTCTCAGTCTACAGACTAGAATACATGAGGTCAGCTCCTCTACACTAATGTGTCCAGTTCACATTGTTTTGTATATTGTCAATCAATCAATCAGCACTTTATTACACACTCGGGGTCCAGATAAAAGACAATAAATGACATACAAAAGCACAATAGATAATGATAATAGACAATAAATAAGTGTCCTACAAAGAGACAACTATACCAATGTCTCTACAGCTGGTATTGGTAGCCACAGACACATTTCATTGGTACTACTCCATAAAGGTCTCTTAAGTAATATTCTCATATTGTCATTATAAGCTACTTGAAGTCACTAGAAGCTTGCTTTTCCATAGTTTGACCACACGTGGGCAGTGTAGAGTAGTGTACAATGTGCTTTGAACAGAGACCTCTTCACTCCATTTGTACACCGCACTAAACTTGCATAAGAGAGCGTTTGCTTGTGCACACAGCATTAACTATAAACATCTTCATCATGTGTCACTTTGTTCGGTGATGAAAATGTCCACAGTATTTTACCTTATCACAGATGCTAAGATTATTTTCAGACAGTCTTAAGTCAGGAAATTTGAGACATTTTAGAATTATATATTTCAGAGACATGAGAGAATGAAACTTTGTGATATCTTCATCCTCCTGCTCTTTTCAGGATGCTGCGGTCCAATGATCCCGACAGGTTCCAGGTCATGTTTCGATACTTGGAAGACAAAGCCATCCAGAAAGACAAATCTGGTGAGGGCTTTGCACTCGTTCACATCTGCTCATCCTATTCTGCATGCTGTGTAAGGCATTCTCTCAGGTTCACCTTTTCTTTTTTTAAATGTTTGTCTTCGAAGGCATGATGCAGTGCATCATTTGTGTCGGGGATAAGGTGTTTGACGTCTTCCTCCAGATGATGGCTGAGAAGGTAGGGAGCATGGTTCAAATTTAGGGTGATGCTGAACAATTACCAAAAGGCTTGGAGGGCCAGTTGACAGTATGTTTGATTCTTCCGTATCACTGAATAACAATCGGAGCTTATTTCTAATGCTTTTTAGCCAAAGACCAAAGAGCACGAGGAGGAATTGGAGCGACATGCCCAATTCTTATTGGTCAACTTTAACCACACCCACAAGAGGATCCGCAGAGTGGCGGACAAGTACCTTTCTGGTTTGGCTGAGACGTGAGTGCATTTATTTATTTTCCTATCATGTTGTATACAGTTTGAATCCTATTTCTCATCTGTTTTACTTCTACCAGATTCCCGCATCTGCTTTGGAGCGGCCGGGTGTTGAAGACCATGCTGGACATCTTGCAGACGCTCTCTCTGTCACTAAGTGCTGTGAGTATCTCTGAACACTGTCAGTGTGAACTGTTCTACGCTGGTGCAGCTCTGAGTCAACATTCATAGTTCAAATAAGGTGTTCTGGGGTGGAACTAAAGCAGAGTTTGAATTATTTTAGCTTGAAGTGTTTAGGAAGTGTTGACATAGATGCAACTATCAGCTTCAGTTGCAACAAATGTCTTCTCTGTTTACTCAGGACATCCACAAGGATCCGCCATATTACGACATTCCAGACACCCCCTACAGGATCACTGTTCCCGACACGTATGAGGCCCGAGAGGTGAGTTTAGACTGTTGTTGACACTGAAGACCACTAGAGGGCAGCGCAGTACTGGTTTAAAGACAGTAGTGGCAGTAGTTTGAGATTGGTTTAGTTGGTTCATCAGCTACATTATCCTGTGTACAAACAAACGTGTACTAACTAACTAAGCCCCTTACATTCAATTTGCAGCCATAGAAATCTTTGAGAAAGACTCGCATAACAACACATGTACACATTGTGTAGGGATATGTATTATTAAAATTGTTTGTCTCACAGTCCTTTATTTATTAATAATCATATCCTGGTTTCTTTTCCTCCTTCTAGAGCATAGTGAAGGACTTTGCCGCTCGCTGTGGGGAGATCCTGAAAGAGGCAATGAAATGGGCCCCTTCAGTCACAAAGTCCCACCTACAGGTCAGCACCTTTACCTTTATGTGTCCTCAGAGTGGAGACCAGAAAGATCAACAGAGCTGTAAGAGGGGGTCAACACAACTCAATTGAACAAACAAAACAAAATTGACTATACTGGAAGTACCATTAGATACTAAAAGTCTGAACTTCACAGCTGACTTTGGTTGTGTCTGTAAAGTTTAAGCAACACTTCGGCTCCAATACTTGTAGAAATAGTAACTTATTATCCTGAATTTTTGAAATTAGTTTTTTTAAGGTTAACAATTTTCTATTTTGATTTTAGAGGATATTTGTCATAGTTGTTCCATTACTGTTTCTCTTTTCCCCCTTTCCTCTCTTTCTGTCTGTTCCGGTATGTTGTGTCTTGTACAGGAATACTTGAACAAGCATCAGAACTGGGTGTCAGGACTGTCCCAGCACACTGGCCTGGCCATGGCCACAGAGAGCATACTGCACTTCGCTGGCTACAACAGACAGAGTACTACACTCGGCGTGAGTCTCACACACACACACACACACACACACACTACATCAGGGGCATCCCTGCATGTCACAAGATAGAGGACGGGCTGAATTTAGACAAAATTACACATCTAAATTAATGGTGAGGTCTTAATCTGAGCTGCCTGTCACATTTCGGCATATTTAAAGCTGCACACTCAGGAAGTGAGAAATGTCCCATCCTGAGGCATCAAGAAGGACGCAGGGATTTTATAGAACCTACTGAACACTATGAAAGAAAATCTTGCCTTACAGGCTTGTTGATTTGAAGCTTATTAACATTCGTCCAACATGGCTTTTCCATGTAACAAATGTGCCATCTACTTGTTTTGTCAGAGACTTTGCAGTGTTGTTAACACTGAGCAGAATTGTCTTGTATCCTTTGTGCACACGTATTTTATTATATTCTATATCTAGTTGTCTAGTTATTTACACCATTGTATGTCCATGTGTGCATGCTTACTGGTCCGTGTGACATCGTTTTGCTTGCTACGCATTGCCTTTGAGTTCTCTGGCTCGAATTCTGCTACATCTGTTTTTTCATTTGCTTCATTTGTTGTATTTTGTCTTTATTAAACTGCACCGAATTACCTGCCTGGTTGCTTGGCTGGTTTGCGGATTTGCTGGTTGCCTGGTTACTTACCTGCAATGGACGGGTGGGTTGGTTGGCTGGTTGTCCATTTGGCTAACCATTTGTCCATTTGGCTAACCCCCCCCCCCCACCATGTGGCCAACCATAGGCTGCTTTCCCTCAGGTTGGTCTGAACTCTAAATACAGAGAGACAGGGCTCAGGCATGACACCTTCAGTATAGCCAGACATGTTTCAGCTCAGCTACGTATCTACTTTCTTAGCTTCGGGACCGCGTGGCCCCTAAACTGTGTGCTTTCATTAGACCACCCAGCTGACAGAGAGACCAGCATGCGTGAAGAAGGACTACTCCAACTTCATGGCATCGCTCAACCTGCGCAACCGCTACACAGGAGAGGTGAAGTCTTGATGTTGTAAATATTCAGACGATGTGACTTTCCTAGACTTCCTGTCACACAGTATGATTCACACCTGCTTATGTGCTGTCTAGGTGGCTGGTATGATGCAGTTCTCGGAGGCGACTCACAGCCATTCAGATCTTAGCAAGCTGATGATCCTTCAGATGACCAGCGC